TGAAAGTATGTTTGGAATAGCGTGGGGATTGAGGATTAGTAAGAGGTCAACATATTTTTTAATGAAGAAATTCCTTCCACCTATTAGATCAACTAAAATCCTTTAACATACCACTACATTTCATCTTAGCCTCCCTTGAAGCAGAAAGTCTCTTCAATATTCTCACAGACCGTGCTCTCCAAATAATTGAAGAAAATTGTTCTATCATAGAACCACACACTTCCCTCAATCAATCCTCATTCCATCAATCTCTCTCTCTATGTTGTAACTCCGGCTACCTATGTGTTCAAAACAAATTTTTTCATCAAACTTCCGGCCTGGCGATCGGTAATTGCCTTGTACCAGACCTCTCCAGCATTGTCCTAAACAACCTAATTAACTCGATATTAGCCCAATTTCCCAATGATATTTTTTTTCATTAAAAAATATGTTGAAGACCTCTTATTAGTCCTCAACCCCCACGCTATTCCAAACATACTTTCTGCATTTTACTCATACCACCCTCGACTCTGTTGTCTTTTCTCGATATAAATATATACTATAAACAGGTTCAGATATGTTTATACTTATAAGTATAGTATACTATTAGAACTATGTAATCCTTAATATAATACATTTTTTTATGATTAATATTGTTATTCTTAAAATATTGTATTATACATTGTCCTAATTATTATTTCAATCCATTACAATTGTCTGTATTATAAACATTATGTGGTTAACTATTGTATACCTTCAATCAAACTATGTTAAGTTTATATTTATTGGCACCACTGGCTTATGTTCGTTTCATTACTAGCCAATAGTCATAATATTGTAACTATAAGAAACAACGCAAATCTTGTCTACATTTTGAATAATTTAGTCAGCAAATTATTTGCATTCTACAAACAGAAATGTCTCCCCCCCCCTCCTCTGACTATGTTTACCTACCTTTGCTTTATAAAAAGCACATCTGGATCCTCCCCCGACACTTTTACTTACCTACCTAAGTGTCAGTACTTGAATACCTTCAGTGTTCCAAACACGGTTAGTAAGAGAAAATATTACTTTTTTTATAAATTGATTACATACATTATTTTTAGTTTGTATAACTTTTTACATATTTCATTTGTCTATTTCAAACATTATCTGTCTTATAATATTATATCTATGATTTTATTAAAACTTTTCAGCCTTAAAGGTTTGGGTTGAAACGTCGGCACTAATAAAAGCTTCATAATGACTACGTCCTGAATATTTATCATCTATGACATGTAGAACAGTCGACTAACTTACTTCAATTATTCTTTATAAACTTTAATTTATTATAAAAAAAATTTCTTCTGCAATAGACCTTATTCGAGATATAAGAGAAAAACAAAATGTGTGACCTTTCCTCCCCCTCTTCCACTCCCCGGCTCACCACCTAGAAGTGAGGACTTTTGATATGTTCATACTCTAAGCACCCTAAACATACTCTAAGTTTCTTAAGGAATCACTTAGGTCCCTGTTCACGCACTTTACACCCAGTTTTGGGCCATTCATTGACTGGACTGATAGATTGGTTTAACAATAATGTTGCTGTTAGTGAAGTTAGATCATGGGTCTTCGAACTACGGCCAGCTAGCGCATCCAATCCTGCTCGCGAAAGTTTCTTTAATAACATGGTAACACTTTAAAAATACGAAATTTAGCAAATTACTCACACATGAGGCTACTACTGCATTTATTGCATTGTTTTTTATTTCTTTTAGAAACCTCATTTCACAACTAAAGTGTCATTTATAGAACAAGATTTTTTTTTAAAAGAAGCCATGGCCGGTGTGACTAGGGTGAAGATCTCAATGCGGCCCGCGAGACTTCGAGAAGGTCTTAATGTGGCCGTCGTGGCTTAAAAGGTTTGGAGACCTCTGAGTTTGATAATTGTGTTTCCCATTGTTTGTGAAATGTTTAAACGCACCTTTAAATTATGTTTTGACGCATTTAAATTATTTTACACCTAACTAAGGTCAATTTAAAACTAGTGAAATTGTAACCTACTGTGTTCTCTATGGATTCGGGGATAATGCAAGGAGAGATCAAGGCTACTCCAATTTCTAACATGACCTTGGAGAAGGCGGAAAGGGTCATAAGAACCATCCTAGGAGGTACTGTCTTTGGCCGCTGCCTACAACACCTGGCCTACACAGATGACATAAGATTGTGGCAAGCACGCTGCCAGCGCTGGCAGGTGCATTAAAGGAATTTGAGGCCGCTGCAACAGCTTAAGGTCTACAAATACCGAGCAAAAGACGATGTACATGGAGAGCTCAAAGCATCCCTTTCATCAAGAGCGGACATTAAGCATAGGCCAACACGAGTTTCCAGAATGTAGAGAGTTCAAGTACCTGAGATCCCTTACACAAGCGGGTCCAGCCCACCTTCCCTCCTTCCACTGGAAGTTAGAAAAAAATTCCAAAAACCAGATATTTAAAGAAAAGAGAAATATAGGGGAGAATCCTCATACTTATAGACGAATTTCATAACGTTATATAAAAAAATTGTTATCGTGACCAGCATTAGCGAACTTTGCCATAGAGGGCCTTTCCCTTGGACAGTGGGAAAAATTCCGGAAAAAATTACCCAAAAAAAAACAGATATCTAAAGAAAAGAAAATTATAGGAAAAATGCATCCTTTAAGACGAATTTTCTAATGTGATATAAAACAAATTATTAATGTGTCCAGTACTAGCTTTTCCAGCCGGGAGGCGCTCCTCCCCCTGGATGGTGGACGAAATATTCCGAAAAAGTTCTAAAAAGCAGCTATTTAAAGAAGAGAGAATCATAAGACAAAATTTTGCGAAAAATTTATTTTCGTGACCAGCACTAGTGATTTATCACAGCGCCCTCCTCGGGATCGTGGAAAAATAATCCCGAAAAAAAGGTCAGATTTTATTAAATCAGATTCCTACAAAATAGTCTGGAACTATTTGCTTCTCAAATTCGAGAAAAGTTTCCAAAATTTTGTCACATTTCATCAAATTAGTTACCTACTAAATGGTATATAACTATTCCAACTCTTTTTGTCCAGCTGATGATCGCATATTTTTTGGTAAATTTTTCAAATTTCCTTTTCAGATTAGTGAAAATAAAAAAAAAAAAAAAAAAAAAAAAAACAGGTCCCAGCAGAAAACAAAAGAAAACGGTTGTAATCGATCTCTAGAACCGGATTGCACAGGAAAAAGGCCAAGTATTTTAAAGACGATTATCATCGGTTAGAACACTAACACTTCTATTCTTGAAAGTATGCACGTATATAACGTAAGTATGTAAGTAGGAGTGCAGAAACCAATCCAGTAAAATAAAAAATTCTTCTTTTTTCTTTTTTTTCCTGGGAAGCTGTCAATTTAATTTAGTTGTTTGGTAATAATAACTTCCAGTTGTTAAAAATTCGAGTAATTTTTAACGTTACATGTTAACAGGCTAGTTTACGTTTCGGGACCTTTATTCCCATCTTCAGAACTGCAATTCCAATACTCTTGTGGATGCAAGGCTTAATTTTAATAATAATAATAATGTGCTCCATCGTCAATTTTCTAATTTATATTCTAAAATTTATCATCTAGAGCAACATCCTCCTTTTGACCAATAATTTCAATGTATAATAATTTACAATTCGAGTATAATGGGTCAGAGAAACCCACTATACTCGAATTTTTAACAACTGGAAGTTATTATTTCCAAGCAAATAAAAAAAAAAAAAAAAAGAAAAAAAAAAAGAGCTTCGATGAAAAGGAGCTTAGAACAACGGCAAGATGCGTGTTGAGTGTAAGAACCACGTTAGTCTGTTGAATATTTCCATAAATACATGTTGTCTTTTTCGATCGTTGAGCGCAGAAATAACATGAGGCAGTGACCGACGTTTCTGCACCGACCGCTGGATCGCATGACCAGTAGAGATGGGCACATGCACACCCAAATATAAATACGAATACCATTTATATTTATGGTACTTAGGAATGTAAATATAAATATATTTTTATTTATAAAAAGAAATATGAATACAGATGATACGTATTCACGGCTGTAAATATAAATACGGCCGTACTCACGATTGTAAAAGTGAATACGGTTGTATTTACACTAGTAAAAGTGAAAACGACAGTATTGACGTTTATTAAAATGAATACAATTGAATTTACAGAAATGAATAGAAATATTTCCACACAAACTTCTTAATGAATACTCTAATATATTAAAAAAACATATATTTATTTAAAAAATATATTTTCTATATGTATAATTTTATTTTTGTAAATAATATTATATTCTTATTTTACAATATGTTATGTTAATTATGTTACAATGTATTATGTTGTGTTAATTATCACTCGTAATGTTTGTAAGTAATATAAATTCCCGAGCCTTTGTTGTATTTACACTTGTAAAAGTGAATACGATAGTATTCACATTTATTAAAAGGAATACGCTTAAATTCACAGAAGTGAATGCAAATATTTTCACACACACTTATTAAGGAATACTCTTATTTATTAAAAAAATATATATTTATTACACTATTAATTAAAAAAATATATAGTTACTATATATACCATTTTATTTTTATATATAGTATTATATTCTTTGTTTTACAATATGTTATGTTAATAATTACTCGTAATGTTTGTACGTTATATAAATTCCCAATCCTTTTTTTTTTGGATCCATTGTCCCATTAAATTGTAAAATAAATTAAAATTGATATAAATTGTTCTAAAATAAATTGTTAATTAAAAATATAAACTTTTAATGAATGGTTACCTTTTTCCAAGTTTTCGGCTGTCTGTAAAAAACAGTTGAGTGCAGAAACAGCATAAGTCCGAATCGAATTCAGCCCGAAAGCCCCCTCCCCCGCCATAGATCCGCCTGTGGTACTTGGTATCGGAAGGAAAGTATTGTTACCAAAAGTATTTGGTATCGGAAGTAAAATATCGATACCGTACCCATATCGATCGGTATCGGACAAACCAAGCGCCATTGACCGATCACAGTTGGCAGGTGGGGAGGTGATTGTTGGTCAACAAAAGTTTAATTTCATTATCTTCAGTTATCTAGACTAGACTCTTGGGCGTGTTTCCCTAAAATATAAGGAGATTCAGTATTCTAACCGTCTTGTTTATGTAGCATCTAGGTCAGCTTTCTTATAATTAATACAAAAAAATGGTTGATACCTATACCAGACATGCTATACGTGTGTCTGTAGCCCAAATATGCCAAATAATTGGCTGGACTTCTATCCACTCCAGCCCTCTCGAGATTTTGACTGACATTCTTCAAGAATATATATTCAATCTTTCGAAAATTGCAAGCAATTATGCAATGTTATGTGAGTAGATAAATTTTAATAACCTAAGCCCTGTGTCTTATAAGTTGAATTTCATTGTAATTCAGTTATTTCTTTAATTTTGTGCTAGTGTGTTAATTATTTGTGATGCTTTAGTAAATTTGTACGTTTTCTTAATCTTTTAAAGGTTGCACCAATCTCAATTATCTTTTGACCTGTTTTTTACATTATTGAAATTAGTTTACTATATAATTCACTGTTATTAATTTTATTTGCGGTAAAATTTGATTTCGGTCTATCCATTTATTACTAATTATTTAGCCTTAACAATGCATATTTAAGATTGTAGGTGTGATGTTCACTGTCTTGATCAATGATATACTTTAAATTATTAAAATTGTATTAATTTCTTATGCTGAAGTAGTATTAGAGCATATAGACATTAGATAATTTTTTTTATGGTTATTTGATTTCAAGTTTTCCTTATAATTTACTTTTTGAAGTTAAAAATAATCCATTTTTGATTGCTTAAATGATCCTCAATACAAATTCTACAAGTATTTTGTCTAAGATTTGTACCATAAGAAGATGATAATAATGTCAAAATTAGGTTATAAAGCAGTAACATTTTGAAGCTTCGATTGTAATTTTCATATAATTTTAATTTGGATGGCATCAAACAGAAAGGGATCTATCCATGTTATGATTTGGTTGTGGTTTTGAATAGGATTAATGCTTACTATAGTCAATAGAAAAGAATAATTTATTGATTTTAACATCTTCAGTAGTGATAATCTAAAATATGGACCCTGTTATTTGAAAATAGCAATTAATGTGATAATGTGTTACCAGCCTAACATTTTTGAAATCACTCGTTTACTCTTAAATCTTATTAGAATAGAGTTTACCACCAACAGGTAATCACTGTTAAAACACAAGAATCACATTCAGTTCTAAGCGTGATTTGGCGTTATGTGTTCTACGATGTTCTAACGGTATAAGATGTTAAAGAAAATGATTAGACATGAGCTCATTGGTAGGCGTGAGAAGTCCATCAGTCCTTTCTAGAGGTCAGTTTCTAAACCCATTGTTGGATTATTAAATGGAATTCAGCACATTCCTCCATCCTTTGATTGAATCACCGATACCTGTTTAATTTCTTATAATAATGAAATTTTATGTCTCAAAAACTTGAACCTTATAAGAAATTGAATTTAGTGATTGTTAATCATGTTCAAAGTTATTGTTAGATAGCGATAGATAAAAACAACAAGTTTATGATTTATATGATTGCTGTTCAACTGGTAATTAATACTAATACCCCTCTATAATATAACATTCTGTATATGGTAAGAAACACATGTCATTGCATATGAACATCATTGCCAATACTCAGCAGGTTTCGTCATGCTATGTACAGTGTGATCCTACACAACCTACCCGTCATGCAGGAGTGACACTTCAGAAAAAATACTGTATACTTAATTGACCGAGTATAGCAATGTCCTGTTTTAAGGTGACTGTTCAACTTTTCATTTATGTGTTAATTATGAAAATAAAACCTAATACATGGGCTATTTTCTTTAAATATGATACTAATGTTAATGTTAAGGTCAACAAAAATATGTATGTTTAGAGATTTTTTTAATAATTCTGATCAAAAATTTAATTGTTTTGGTGCACCAGTATTATCAAAAATTTGTTTCTTTCATGGTCACAATAATATATATTTTTCAATATTGTGGCACAAATGATGAAGGAAATAAAATCTGGTTATTGCAATAAGTATGAGTTATTATTTTAATGAAAAAAGTTGAAAAGTACACGAAATTCGAAAAGGTCTATAATGGGTGGGTGTTATGATTATTTGTGAATTTTATTTGATATCTGTAGCTTAACTCCTAATTTCTAACTTTTAAATTTACGATTATATTACTAATATTGTCCTCTGTATACAATAGCACGATCTAAACTGAGGGGAAAGAGGTTCGTGAAAAGTCACAATTATATTAACCTGATTTGCATTGCAACAGGAATAAACAGATGCTATTTAATTATCAAATTTATTAGATAGATCTTGTAAATTATTGTTTTGTTACAAGGAAATTATACCTTTATCTAAATTTGTTATCTCTGTAATACTAGTTAAGTAGTTCATTTACATTAGAAATACAATAACCTAATGGTGTAAAAACATAAAACCGTGATATCCTTTGTCTTCTAATCACCTGTATATGGGTATCCAATAGGACCGTCAAATGATTTTTCCTGAACAATTAAAGCCTAGAATTGGGGATCGCTTAGTCTGGTGGTAATAATCTGTTTTAGAAAACTAAAATTTGTATTGACAGAAATCATATAGATTTATTCCTAACTCTTTCTGACATTTTGAAGCATGGATTAATTTTATCTAAAAAAATAAAATAAAAATGAGTTTAAGTTTTGTCTAAAATGTCATTAGAAAATGCATTGTCGTCACATAAAGAAAATTTGTAATAATTGATATTAAGTCTTGAACTCCAGGATATCCTTTTTTTGGAGAAAACTATAAGTACTTCTTTCTGTTGGCAGTGCTTAAAAAGTTGTGTCCTATATATTTTTTAATGATTATTATAGTTTCTATAAAACTAATTAAATATTTTATATATATGATTACAGATGGTCAAACTGAACCCAATATGAATCATTTAGCATTAGCATTTAAAGACATGGGGATATCTCTGATTGAACTTGAAGAATATGTGACTTATGTTGAGACTAGCTCTGTATTAGAAGTGCCTAAGTATCCTATTCCAAAAGAGTCACATCTGAACCACCTTAAACCAGGAAGCAGAGAAGTTGTTACACGACCAGTACATATTCATGAACATTTACCTCCTATGCATCCACATTTAGAAGGTATGTATTTTTTTCTATTTTCTTTTCCTTTCAAAGTAATGCTTGATTTATTTATTTGATATTTAATTTATTACTCAAATCTGCATAAAAAAATAATTTTGGAATACATAACATAACTGGCTGATATATTTTTGACTGTATATTGTGCCATTTTAAAGGACATCAAACTTATTCAATCTGACATTTTATTTATCAAACTCTATTAAAAGGAACTCAGTGAATTAATTATTAACTAATTTTGTTGATAATTCGGAAATAACAACTTGTATTAGGATGCGTTTTTCAGAAATAAGTACAATTTTAAATTTCATTTCTTAATTGCTTGTCAATTATTTTATTTACTTTCAATTCACAATTCATATTTGTCTTTTTTAATAATAATTTATTATTACTGATGCTTAGGTAACCCATTGTTACTTCATTCTATGTAGATATTTTTTTTAATTGATCTGGGTCCCTAAAGAATTATAGGCACAGATCTTTGGAATTTGCTACAGGCAATATCCTATGGTTGGACTCATGCACTGCAGTCTGTACATAAATAACATACTGCTATTTATCCTCATGATATAGATGAAAAGTAGATTCTTCAACAAGTTTTATCTTCTTAAGACCATATATGAATAGGCAATGACCCTTGAAGACATCAATTTTTGTTCTCCGCTATTTTATTTGTGTATTTTGACAATCTAATTAAAATTTGATTTTGTTTCATTCTATGCTTCAAGGTCTCTTTCTTTTTTAGTTCCTAGGAATTTTAATCCTTTTTTATTAAGTCATTTGTTATACTGCAGTCAGATTTTGAGCTGATGAGCATCAATTATGAGGCTTTACATGCTAAATAAAATATCTGGAATCTTATTTTTTTTAATACTTTCATGTTCCTACATCCATAATCTATCACTCGAGTAGTTAAACAATTTATTGATAGAGATTCGATCAATTAAACTAGTTATCATTCACAATTTTTAATTAACATCTCAATATTCTTATTTACTTAAGAACACACAATGTTTTATGACTCAAGCCATAATGAAAAACTTTTGTGAAAATGAAATATTTTTTGTAATTAGTTTTTAAAACTGAATCAAAAAATATTTATTTTATTCAAATGATGATTAACTTAAAATTAGAAGCTTATATTGTTTTTTCATAGTATTTGAAATTTTATTTTTTATTTTTCTAGATCGTGACTATATACTTAGTAAATCTCCACTTTCTATTGATATTACAACTTCAGAGAGCTTATCACCATTGTCCAGTCCTAAAAGTGTTTTTAAGAAACCTGGAGATCCGGTTATCAACGAAAGGCGTAGCAGGTAGGGATAATCTGATGCATTATCACATTGTTAATGGCCAAATAATAAGTTAGTAAAGACAAGAAAATAACTAAATTCAAGGTTTGTCTGAAAATTTCATATTAAAGTGAAAACTAGGTAATTCAGAGTTAACCCTTTAAAATACTTCCTCTGAGAAACCTTTCATCTCCATTTCTACTGCTATTAGTCTTCTTGGAGGTTGTCCTCTGTTTTAGCGTTCTTCAGCTACCTTGTTTTTTTCTTAACAGTCTTCACATCAATCAATCACCAACCTCCCTCCATCCCTGAAGGAACACCTTGAATATAGAAATAGAAAACAATAAAAATTCATTTGGTGGCAAACCAAGTGGATAAGGTTTCATTTCCGTCATTGAAATCGAATTTGAGGTCTTAAAACTCATCACAAGAGAAGTGTTTGCAGAAGGAATGTTGTGGTGACGGATCCAAAACTTCCCTTGGACCAAATTCTGTCTAACCTGAGCTAAACATGCTTAAGGAATCTCAAAACATCAACATAAAATTTTCCAATAACAGTTTGTTCTGGAGGAATGAATCCTTAATGGAAAGTTTCCCAAGCATTGAAAAAAAGTAATTAGCGTAGCCTTGATTTCCCAGACTTTTTTTGGCACCCCACCTTGTTTCGATGTTCTGTGCGATGATTTTACATTCATTCTTCCCTAATTTTGTGAGTACGTCGGTGTTAATTTGCAGTTCTTCAGTAATGGAAATAATAGAAGCTTCATGGTGATTTAAAAACAAGCCCGTTCGAACGGGTACTTGGCAATCCAAATAACCCACAGAGTGGCCAGGCGCAAGTGTGTCGTATTTTGAAGAATAAAATATTGAATAACCTGATTAAATGTAAAATAATGTTTCTCTTTCTCCTTTATTTCAACTCTCCAGACAAACCTCTTAAAGCCTAAAATCTCAATTTTGTCTTTATGAGAAACAGTCCATTTTTCTTTTGTGAAATTTAATTATCATTGACTAGCTATTTAATAAATAGCTTAATAATTTAATAAGTAAAAGTGATAGTTCATCTTTACGACCTACTTATTTATTTTGATTATTCATTTTATCCTCTGGTATACACAATTTGGACATTTAACACCAGCACTCAGAATGATCGATAGGGTTAATCAAATTTTGAGCTGGCTTTATTTATATATATATATTTTAAACTTGTAATTAAAGTATTATTTTCCTTTTGATACAGTTAAATCCTAACATTATGGGATAGCTCAGTAGGTGAGCACTGACTTCCAGAGCTTAAGGTGCCAGGTTCAAATTCGGCTGATGATGAGTGATTTTTCATCAGCCATGGGTCGACCCTGAGACCGGGAGACCCTTCTGGGGCAAACCCAGCCTCTATAACGTGGGTACTCTAATATTGTCCCATCACCTTCCTTTACAACTGTTGGCCTTGTAACAGTACTTCCTCACATAGTACTGAACCCATAACCCTTCATGGGTTGTTAGTGGTACAGGTAAATATCCTAACATTCACAAAAGCTATTGGCCTGTTTTAAAACAGTTTAGGACAAAAGAATAGAATTTGTTGAGGTAGGTATAGTTAGTGATCACAAGCGTGTTCAAGTCAGGATAATAAGACTTAATGGATGAAGGAAGAGTTTAAGACAGGATGAACAGAAACGTCAGGTGGATGTGCACCTAAATCACTCTTGGTCTACGGTCTGAGGGATGAATCTCATGACAACGCAGGACAGAAACCACAAACGGAGGAATAAATCTCCAGACCTTATGGGAGGATGAAAATCTAACGGAGGGAAGGGCCTGCAGACTAAGTATATAGGAGTATAAGCGGATGGATGAGCATCCAGACCTTGTGTGGAGGAAGAAAAGGAGCATAGTGAAATAAAAGGCAGTTTGATGTAGAATCAAAAAGCATATATAGAATATACTGATCAAACTGCTGAGAAGGTCTAACAACTCGAAGGATGGAGATCCAAGGTCTGAATTTATTGTGGTACTGACTGCGATCTTCATTCAGCCTTGACGTACTCAACTAGCAAGAGTAGTTACAGTTACTGTTATTTAAAAGATTTGATCAGTATATCTTATTATTATAAACCTTTATTATTAAAAAGCATTCACATTTTATATACATATTTACAATTTAGAACTTGAGTTTTTTTTTAATACAATAATGAGAAATAAAAAATACATCTTTTAGGTACATTGAGTGAGTGTGCATGTGTGACGCTGCTAGGTAGTGGTAAGGTAAACTATTAGGCCAGTAGATACTAGTTGACCGCTACTATTTAAGATTACATTTTGTTTTTATTAAGCCAAATTTAATTTTTAAAATTTATAACAGAATTCAATAGATTTTAACAGTTATTAAATAAAAATTCAACCCACATGAAACTTAACAAACTGTGATTTATATTTTAGATTGTTTCCATTTTGTGTTCTTTAACTGATCAAATTACGTCATTGTTTAGTGCCTGAATGAATCATATACTCTTATTGATGTGTTTCCTAATATTTTTTTTTTTGGCTCCTCCCTCCCTTGCCTCTAAGGCTATACATACGGGGTTTGCCCAGGCCAGAGGGTGTGTGCGGGGATTTAAAAGAGTCTCCCGCCAGCGGGACGCGAACTCATGACTATTTTAAATCCATTGTTTCATAGATCAGGTTGCCAGGCAACGGCGGTGCTGTTAGCCCGTTCGGCCACCCCACCACGCTGTTGGTTTAATGGTGGGGGCTAACTAGCCTATTGCTCATTTTTTCTGACCATTATGGAAGCCTGTTATTCCTCTGTTGTAAACATTCTTGTTTTCATCGTATAAAGATGGCTGACTAATTGGTGTGGGAAGCATTATTATTATATTTAATTATTTACAATAACAAAATAGAACCATAAACAAGTTTTTGGTTAACAAAAATTTGGACTCCTGGCTTCCTGGAAATCAGAGCCAAGGAGTTGCTAAAAATTATTCAATGGGGGTTCAGTTTTCGAGCCGAAAAATGAATATTTCCATTTTTCATGGACCAGTTTTTGAATTTTTGAATAATAAAAAATATTTGGCTGCTTTTATGTAACTACCAATGATAAATAGAGAATAAAATGAAAAAGTTAAATACATTAAATTATTAGTTCACATCTTAATAATCAACTTAAATATGTATATTTTTTTTATCGAAGACATCAGAGTTGTCACTTTTGTGTTACCTATCCTAGAGAGATAATTGGTCGCCTAGAGAGACAATTGGTCGCTTTTTTTCTATTATAGTCTCCTTCCTTTTACCTTTTTTTTTTTTATTTTGAACTTCTTTTAGGATACACTGTTTTTTCAGACTAGGGAAGAGGGCGCAGGAATTATGCTGAGCACCAGGATTTGAATTCATAATTATTTTTCTATCTCAAACTTCGGTTATCAAGTTTCCAGGTACGCATTAGCCAATTTGGCCTTCCTGTCTCTCTTCCCCCAGATAATCGCTCCCCAGAAAGCCTATCACTCAAGTTTCACATTTCACTTCTTGAAGTTTGACACAATTTGTTTAGGATTTTTTTAAACTTATCATAATTGGATAAAAAAGTTTTAAATACAGTTCTATAGAATACATAACTGTAAGTTTTTTAGTATTTTTAAAATAATGCATTGTTCTTCATTGCTATAAGTTACTTCATTAGAATAGGTTTGAAGCCTTAGAACTTGTATGATGAGGACCGCGATGATATAGACAAGTTATGGGTATGGATCAGTTATAACATTAAAGTGGTCGTCATCTCGTTTCTTGGGAAAAAAGAAAATAAAAAGAACAAATCGTGGTTTGATTAAGATTGTTTGAACATATGTGATAAAAGAAAAGCTGCTAAATTAAAATCTCTGAATAATCCTAGCAAAGACAATCTCAAATACTTCCGAACCTCAAAGAATGAAACAACAAAATTGCTCAAAAATAAAAAAAGGGAGTATCTTAAAAATAAAACAATAGAAATAGAAACTTATAGAATCGAAAATAACATAAGAGACATGTAGAAAGGTATAAACAGATCATCTAAATGTTTAGGACCCATCACGTCTGGAATTAGGGATGAAAATAACAATATTCTGACTGATCGTGTAGACATATTAAATAAGTTTAAGAGCCACTTTAACAATATTTTAAATATGGGAAATTATGATCTGTGTCCTCCTTCTGAGTACTAGAGTGCTGATCCATTAATGGAAGAACCGAGTAAAGAGGAAGTCGAAATAGCCATCAGAAAATTAAAATCTTATAAAGAAGCGGAAACCAATAATATTCCCAGTGAACAAATTAAAACATGCGGGGAAGCTGGAGTTTCTAAAATACATTTGTTGGTTATAAAGATCTGGATAAATGAGAAATTACCTGAAGAATGGAAAGAATCTATTCTTATTCCGATTCACAAAAAAGGTCTGAGGACAGATTGTAATAACTATTGAGGAATTTCACTCCTTCCGGTATGTTATAAAATATTCATTTTAATCTTTAATCTTGTTATAAAATTTCACTTTAGCTACTCGAATCACGGAATACGCCGAGGAAATTATTGGAGACTACCAATGTAGATTTATACGGAACTGTTTGATTATTGCTTAAATATTTTCTTTACGGCAAATACTGGAGAAAAAAATTGAGTACAACGGTGTTGTTTACCAGCTGTATATTAATTTCAAAAAGGCTTACGATTCTACTGACCGCCAGAAACTGTATAATATTCTAATCGAACAGGGAATTCCAAAAAAATTAGTAAATATAGTCAGGATGTGCTTTATGGAAACACTCAATAAAGTTAGAAAAAAATCCTAAATTAACTGTGTCGAACTTCAAGAAAGAACTAAAAATTTTCATTAAAAAATTTCAACCTGTAGCACCGCTCTGATAAATCTAAGAAAAAAAAAACTGAGGGTATCAGTATGTAATACGTACAACTACCATATATCTTAAGTTTTTCCAGGTCAAAATCATGTAGTGCTAGAGGCTTTTTCTCCTATTTCTATGCTGTTCTTTGAATATTCCCTGGAAAACATTGATTGTATGCAGTGTTCTAAATTTTAGAACAGGACCCAAATATTCCTGTAATAGTTTATGAGGCTTATGATGTAAGGTAATGCTGAAAAATTTTTCTAATACTTAGAGATTATATTAAAAAAAATAAGATAAAAAGATTGAAAATAGCAGCATTTCAAGATGCTTGGGCTAACTATTTGGTATAGAAGGGCACTATTAATGTGAAACTTGGAATCTGAATTTTGAATTGAAATCTGAGTTTCATATGAGTGTACTACGTATGTGTAAGCTGGCAGCCATTTATCTCCAGAGCACTTTTCCTATCTTATCCAAACAGAGCCTTTAAAGTCATTATCTCATGTATCTTTCTTTTACTAGCTCTCTATTTTAATGTGCTTACATTGATTTTTATGAAACAGTGAAATGGAAAAGCTGTTACTTAAATAATCTTAAGATTAATCTCACTAATCTTTCAGCCATGTTATATTGCAACTTTTTTGTACTTTTATCTGATATTTAGTTAAATATTATTCCTATGAAACTTATATAAATCAAATTAATTTATAACTTTTAATTTTATGTATTAAATATGGTTTGAGACAGTGCATTTAATCATATATGTTTTGCAGGCCACTTTTAGATGACAATGAAGTTAGACCATTGCGTGAAATCAGTAGTGTGATGATGACGACATCTGGGTTTCTTTCACCGGCGAGAGAAGGAAAACTGCCTGAAGCTCGTACTGTTCCAATTGAGTTTAACAGAAGTTCATTATCACCAGAAGATTCTAATCTAGTAGAACAAAATATTGAGTTGAAAATCGATAAGAAAAAAAAACCTAAAATTCCAGATATTAAGAAACTAGATAAAGAAAATAAAATTAAGGAAGAAAATCGGGATCAAAGAGAAACCGAAGATGAATTCAAAGGTAAGAAGCTTTTAAATAGTAAAGAGACATCTAAATTAAAAGCCTTAAAAACAGGTGCACAGAAAATGCCTTCAAAACCTCCTTCGCCATCACCAATTCTAAAGAAACCCAAAGTTCAGCTTTCTCCAACAGCAAGTCAGGCCAGTTTTATTATGAAACCACAAAAAGAAAAAAGTCCTAAAAGTGAAAAAAAACCGCCATCGCCACCTAATAAAGATTTATTTGTTCCAAGTCTTCCAATATCTAGTAGAGATTTAAATTCTGATACTGATGTTAAATTACCATCTGAACCAGATAAACAAAAGCTCAACATTTTAAAGAAAATTTCTAAAGTTAAAGAAGAACCAGAAGATTCAAAGAATTCTGTAGCTGATGTGCGTGAAAATTCATCATTTTCATTTGATCAAGTACCCCATTCAACCCTAATAAACAAGAAAATTATAAATGATAACAGTAGTTTAGGTAAAGAATATGAAGATGAACTAGAAACTCCAATTGATGTAGAAAACGCTAGTCCCCCTGGTAATGTTGAATATAACCGCTTGCCTCCTCCCGATTTACCTAAAATAACTGAAGTTCAGAAAATCCCTGAAGTCAAAAAGAAAAAGAAAGATAAAAAAGAAAAAAGAGATATGGAAAATGATAGAGATTCTTACTGCAACAGTCAAAAAAGTAAAAATCAATTAGATGATTCTGGAAAATCAAAGCAAAGTTCAGCAACACATGACATTAGTTTTCCAGAAGAAACCCAGACTCCATCTTTCCCTAATCTCACTTGTCCTGTTCCTCCTGCTCCTGGTCTTATACCTTGGAGCAATCCTCTTTTCTCCACTGCTAATCCAGTATCACCTGCCTTGAATTTAATGAATTATACCAATTTTCCCAAGAAATCTCAAGATATACCTACAACAACTGTTCAACAACCAAGTTTTTCATCAACATTTACTACTAATTCTTCACATACCCTGTCTGGCACAGCACCTTTACCGCCATTTTCAAACAAGGATAACACAGTACTTTTGTCTAAGGTATGATAAAATTATATATTTGTGTTATTATATGTGTGTAGTTTATCTACTATAGTCCAGTCAATGAATTCCCAAAAAGGGTGTGTAGAGTGCGTGAGCAGGGACCTAAGTGATTCCTTCAGAAACTTGTTCAGAGTGCTTAGGGTATGAATATATCAAGTCCTGATGCCTAGGTGATGAGCTGGGAGGGGGAGGGGAGAGTAAAGGCAAAAATTTTTGGATTTTCGCTTATGTCTTGAAAACGGTGCATCACAGGGGAAATTTTACGTATAGTAAATTAAAGTTTATAAAATTACCTAAAACTTTTATTCTGTAGGTTTTATCCGAGTTCTAAACCGTTTTCGACCTAATTACTTACTTACTCCATGGCCCTACGAGGGTCTGGTCCTCCTCTACAATTCTACTCCACTCTTCCCTATCCTGGGCGAGTCTCCGCTATCCTCTGATTCCCATCTCTCTAATACTCTCTCCATTCCATCTGACCATCTTAATCGTGGACATCCTCTAACTCTCTCTCCTCCGGGCTTACCATCCAGTAATTTTTTGGGTATCCTATTCACTGTCATCCGTTCTACATGTCCCAGCCACCTCAACTGATTCTTTTTAACAAAAGAAACTTCTTCTGGTTCTTGGACCATTTCTTTCAGCTCCTCATTCTTTCTTATTCTCCAGTTGCCGTTCTCGCAGACAGGTCCATATATTCTTCTGAGTACTTTCATTTCTCAAACTTTTAACATTCTTTCACTTTCTTTGGAAAGTACCCAAGTCTCACAGCCATAAGATACAACTCGCCTAATGACTGTTTTATATAATATGAGCTTAGCTCTGTTGGTCAGGCCTCTGAATTTTAATGGTTTTTGAAGAGCGTAATAGCACCTGTTTCCAGCAGCTACACTTGCCTTAATTCACTCTCGGTGTTCATTCTTTGATGTGACAAGAGCACCCCAATACTTAAACTGATTTGCTATCCTGAAGTTGTGGCTTCCAAATTTAATCATATCTTCCATTCTTTCTGGTGGGTTTCTTGTTGATTTCATATATACTGTCTTTTCATCGTTTACATGTAGGCCTAACTTTTTCGCAGCGTTTTCGAACTCCTCAAACGCCTCCAATAAAGATGTTCTTGATCTAGCCGATATTACCACGTCATCTGTGTAGGCTAGATACTTTGACAATCTATTATATATCGTGCCATGAGGGCTTGTCCGAATAGCACGTACTGCATATTCTAAGGCTAGGTTGAAAAGAATTGGGGACAAGGGGTCTCCCTGCCTTAGGCCTGCAACTGCAAATTTTTCTGATAGTGTTCCTTATATCTTGACTTTACAGCAACTATTAGTCAGTGTCATCCTTGTTAGTCTAACTAACTTTTTCGATACTCCTAAAGTGACCATTGCTTTGAATAATTCGCTTCTATTGACACTATCGTAAGCCTGTTTGAAACCAATAAAAAGATGATGGAGATCTACATTATATTCATTGCATTTTTCCAACATCTGTTTAATGAAAAATATTAGTTTGATTGAAGATCTATATATCCTGAAACCACATTGATAATCACCATGAATACGTTCGGACCATACTTGTAACTTTTTATTTAGGAGCGAGGAAAATGCCTTATATACTACCCCCAGGAGAGATATACCTCTATGATTTTCGCATTTAGTTCTATCTCCTTTGTTGGAAACTGGACAGATAATAGCTACTGTCCAATCTTTTGGCATTTTTTCTTCGACCCATACCTTCAACAAGTCCTATACTTTCTTTAGTAGGTCCTCTCCACCATTATTGTTTTTAAGTGTTTCAACCAATTCCACGAAATCCTCATAATCAGGGGGCTCCATATCATCTTCGCCACTCAGAAATTCCTCTTGTGTACGACCATGCAGCACATTCCTCAGTGTGTTTTCATCTTCATTCAGAAGTCCCTGGAAATATTGTCGCCAAGTATCCAATACCTCTGCAGTTCCTCCCACCATGTTACCTTCTATATCTTTGCAAACACCTGTCCTCGGAAACCATGTTTAAATTCTCTGATCCCTCTGTAAAACTTTCTGGACTGTTTTGTTTTCCATTCAGCTTGTAGCATTTCCACTTTGCTTCTTTCCATCATTCTTTTCTTCTTCCTACAAATAGTCTTGGTAGCTCTTCTTTTTGTGTTATAGACTTCCTTGGTCTGCCTCGTATTTCTTTGCAGCATCTTCATTCTTCTCTCTCAATGCCATCTGACACTTTTCATCAAACCATTCACTTCTTGCCACAATCCGTCTCACTCCCAACACCTCTTCTGCCGTCCTTCTTAATGGGCTTTCAATTCTCCTCCAATTATCGTCTATTCCCCTACTTTTCGCTTCCTTGTATGCCCATCAAGGCTCCATTCAATTTTTCCCTAAATGGATCTGAATAGTTTTTCAGTTTGAGGAGCTCACTGTTATATCTTGTGGACTTCTCTCCATGTTCTTGCAAGCCCTTCTAGCAAGCTTCTGCCCACAGAATACCTTAACTAAAAGGTGATCAGAATCGACATCTGTGCCTCGATAACTTCTCATATTCTAGATATCTAAGTTATGCCTACCATCTATGAGAACATGGTTAATTTGATTTCTTATCTTTCCATCTGGAAATATCCAAGTTTTCTTAAGAATCTCTTTGTGTGGGAAATGTGTGCTTCTAATTGTCATTCCTTTTTCCATGGCGAAATAGATAATTCTCAGCCCATTGTCATTTGAAACATCATATTTACTTTGTGATCCAATTGTGGGTATAAATACCAATTTTTTACCGACCTTGGCATTCATAGCTCTCATAATTATTTTTACATCATGTCCAGGCAGCAGATCATATTCTCTGGACAGGATATCATAAAAATTATCTTTGTCTTCATCCTCGCTATCCTCTATTGGTGCATGTACACTTAAAGTTCAAAAGTATATACTTCAGACTTCATGAAACCTGTGTGCAGGTAGTTTCGTTGGTGTCCACTATTTATGATTGTATACTTCTTAAGGTCCATTATCTCTATTTTTCCCCATTTTATTTTCTGGCTACACCCACATTGTAATTCTCCAGCACTTCCTCCAAGTTCTTTCTTGTTACAGCTTGGGCCATTCCTCTAATATTCCATGTCACTAACATTAAAGATTTTGAAATTCCTCTGACTCGCCTAGATTGATCCATTAAATCCGTCTGGCTTTTCTTTGTGTTTGGTATTGTAATAATTGTCTTTTTCCTTGGATAGAGGAGTCAATTCTATACCCAAACTGCAGTCTGATGGGTGAGGATTTTTTATCATGGTTTACTCCCTTAGGCTTTGAGCTTTCGCTCTCACTCACAAGGCCGTGGGGGATAGGTATTCAAAGAATAAAAGGATTATGATGAGAGGTACTATTGGAAAGGGGGGAAAGATAGGATAAGGTAAGAGGTCAATGGTCAGTTGTCCCTTTAGTCGCCTTTTACGACAAGCATTGAATACTGTGGGTCTACTCTACCCCCGTACCCATAGCTAAATGCTCAGAAAAATATGACATTTTAGAAAAAAATCATTTTGTCTCATGTTTTTCATCAAACATTTCTTCATATTGTCTAAGATATTCATCAGTGAAAGAAATTTATTTAAAAGAAGTTGTAGATACTTCAATTTCCTATTAGAACGTATATACATATCCAAATTAATCTCCAACCAGTCTAGAGTTACAGCTATTTTAAAAATTTTCATAAAATGTCATTTTCAGAAAAAGTTGTTTTTATCATATTCTTGATCCACTTTTTTGTTTGCATGTCTAATAATATGTGTGACCACACTTTAAATCCAATTATTAAATTAGAAAAAAATCATATTAGTTGAAAAATTTAATATTTTATTTTACAGATAATAAAAGTCTCATACTAATTTTATTCTATTTTGTTATATTAAATACATACAATTATAAACTTCATTGTTATCATTATTTTCAATAACTTATTAATATTACACTCACAAATTTAGATGGATTCACATTTTCATTCACATTGTAAATGACCCTTTGTAAATAACACATGTAAATAAACGTTGGACATGTGTGTCTTGGCAAAGGATGTTTCTTCATGGCATCTTCACCCTCTGTAGTGGGACACAGTGGGTCGGTCAGACCCCCCTATCATTCACTCCCCCACATCCCTATAAATTTCATATTGTGTTCCTTGCAACTATTTATTAAAAAAAAGTCAATGTTCCCACAAAAAAAGTAAACGCACTGTCCCAAAATGGTGTCCAACATGGCGGATTGAAAACTTTGACTTGAGTTAGTTTTTCGGTCATTGTGATTCAGCATTTGGTTTAATTCCGTCATAGTTGGCATTTTATTAAAGCTGAATAGTCAGAGAATAATAAAACACGTACAAATATTAAAAAATAATTGGTTTGGGCAATAAAAACACTGGTAAAGTCAATTTATTCCAACTAATGTTGAAAATCAAGCTGTTCATTTGTAAATAAACGGCCACAATAACGAAAAATGATTTGAAATAAAACATCTGGAAAATACATTTATCTTTCTAAATCAGTGATTAATTTTAAAAATATTTGAAGCAGTTCCTTAGAAAATGCACCTAATTGGTAGAAAAAGTGGTTCTTATGTAAGTGGCTACTGTCTTCTTTCTCAGTATTCATAATTGGCATAGTTATAGGGCTATAATAACGTTTTTGGTATAACTTTTGTTCATTGGTCTAATAATATGCGTACACACTTTAAATCTAGTTATTAAATAAAATAGAAATAAAAAAAAAATTCAATTAACATGATTTTTTATTATTTTTATTTTGTCTACTTTATTTAATAACTCTATTTCTAGTGTGTTTACACATATTATTAGACAAACTAACAAAAGTCATACCAAGAACGTTATTATAGCACTATAACTCAATAATGAGTACTGAGGTAGAAGACAGTACAGAAGAACCATTTTTTCCACCGATTATGAGCATTTTCTAAGGAACTGCTTCAAACATTTTTAAAATTAATCACTGATTTAGAAAGATAAATGTATTGTCCAGATGTTTTATTTCAAATCATTTTTCGTTATTGTGGCCGTTTATTTACAAATGATGCTTGATTTTCAACATTAGTTGGAATAAATTGACTTTACCAGTCTAATAATATGTGTAAACTCACTTGAAATGGAGTTATTAAATAAATTAAACAAACAAAAATTAAAATAATAATAAAAAATCATGTCAATTGAAAAATTTTTATTTTTATTTTTATTTTATTTAATAACTAGATTTAAAGTGTCTACACATATTATTAAACCAAAGAACAAAAGTTATACCAAAAACGTTATTATAGCCCTATAACTATGCCAATTATGAGTACTGTGAAAGAAGACAGTAGGCACTTACAGAAGAACCACTTTTTCTACCAATTAGGTACATTTTCAAAGGAACTGCTTCAAATATTTTAAAAATTAATCACTGATTTAAAAAGATAAATGTATTGTCCAGATGTTTCATTTTATACAAAAGTTGTGGACCAATAGTATGATAAAAAAAATTTTTTTCTGAAAATTAGAATGTTTTACGAAAAACTTTAAAATAGCTGTAACTGTTGACTGGTTGGAGATTAATTTGCATATGTATGCATATTTTAATAAGGAATTTATTTCTACAACTTCTTCTAAATGAATTTCTTTCTCTGATGAATATCTTAGACGATAGAAAAAATGGTTGATGAAAAACATGAGGTAAAATGATTTTTTTTTTTTAAATCATCTTTTTCCGAGCATGTTGCTCGAAATGGTTTAGGGTCCAGATAAATCCTATAGAATAGAAGTTTTAAATAATTTTATAAACTTTAATTTACTATACAAAAAGTTTCCTCTGTGATTCACCTTTTTCGAGATATAAGCGAAAATCCAAAAATTGTGACCTTTACTCCCTCCTCACTCTCCTGGCTCAACACTTAGATCTAGACGTCAGGACTTTTGATTGATATGTTCATACTCTAAGCACCCTGAACAAGTTCTGAAGGAATCACTTAGGTCTCTGCTCACACACTCAATAACTCCTTTATTGACTGGACTACTATGAAATTATTATTATTCATTCATAATATTATGTATTTTTATTACTATAAATAATATTTGTCTTAAGGGTATTTATGTGTATTAATAAGGCTTGAAAGCCGGCAACAGGTGGGCATCTGAGTTTAGTTTTAATTATTTCTGTGTGATCAAGGTCACCGGTGCCCTTAAAATTGTTTACAATTAATTATTGAATATATCCTTTGCTTAGAGTTATGCCCTATTTTATTTGATACTCCTAATTTCTTTTTTTGTCTAAGTAGGGTATTGTGGAGTAAATACATAACAGTCTTATTAAACCCAAATGCAGTGCTACGACATGTTATTGTATCTAGACATCCTCAGTAAACTGCCAGGAGTCTGTCTCTAGTTTTGCACTTCAGGCTTCTCTCATCTTACGCTGTGCAGTCAATGGGGCTTTTGGGTTGAATTCTTGGCAAACCCTTTTTTGTCCATAGATAACTTCATCGGCAGTTTCCTCAGGATCTGCTCCTTATACATCCTGGTCACATGACCATACAACTTTAATCTGGCTCGCTTCATGATTGAAAAAATATTGAGATCACCCTAGAGATTATAAATTTCTTTGTTAATTCTCTTTCATCTTCTGTTGATAAGAACGAGTCTAAATATTCTCTATAAATCATTTTTGAAAAATCATAATGTTTTGACTCATTGCCTTGGCCGTGTTCCAGGTTTTTACACCTTACATGAGGAATAGGTGTATTAGAGTTTTGTACAGTTTTGATTTTTGTCTTTGTAAACTGTTTTTCAAATGATGCCATAGCCCAAAGTAGCTTTGGTCTGCAGTTCTTCTGGTCTCAATCCTCAATTAATTATCCCCAGTAATCTGGTATCCAAGTTATGTGATTTTTGTTACTTTTGGAAGAAGTAGGTACGAATCTGCACTTTTTCTGCCGGCATAGGAATCTGTTTGGATATCATGTATTTGTTTTTTTCTCGGCTAATCTCCATACCAAGTCTTCTTACTTTTTCTTCTGAAGCAGTGACCTGTGAACCTCTTTAACTGTTTGATATGACATTCCCCTTATGACTGTCATTTGCAAGGGCTTTGACGTGTTCTAACCTATTGAATATTGTACCTGAGTCCCTAACTACCTTTTAAATTGCTCTAATTTATTGAAAGCCTTCTTACTAAGCTCCCTTTATTGGTGCACCGTTTTCAAGGTCTGTCATGATCATTCTTATTTATTTTCTGAGTAATTGGGAATTATACTGTACACTACAGAGAACTCTCCCTGTATTATAAGTCGGATCATTCAATTTCTACTGATTTTAACCACCACTAAGCATATTTTTATTTTTTGCTATAAGTGGAATCTTCAGAAACTGTCATTCAAAGTACTTTGTGATTCACAGTTTTCTTGATTTTGCAGAGCTGTTCTGTAGTCGTCCTGGCGAAACAAGGTAAGGGCAAGTGCAAATCTATACCATATAGCTCTTACCTCTGCTATCATTTTTTACCAGGGCAACTGTGGACTAGGGCATTGAAATATAATTTATTTTTTTCATGGCCCAATGAAGATCATAAAAGGTGAATCTGAGACTTTTTTTTTTCATCATTAAAATAATCATTTGGAAATAAACATTTTTGCATTTGCCTCATAATTACTACTGCTTGAATAGTCTTTCAAATGCCTTGTTCCTTAAGGTTGTAAAAAGTATGCACTATGTACTAATAAATTGAATTATCAATCTCATAAAAATTTATGATTGAAAGTTGGACTTGTCTGTTTCTTAAACAGAACTTTACTTTGTGTGTAGAAAATATGATTCTAGTTAGAATATGAACATCTTGCTTGCTAGATATATATATATATATATATATATATAGTTATTTTTCTTGTTAGCTTTACTGACCTTATAGATCTTTTATCACTTACTGTTATTATATCTTTCTAGGTATCAAATTTTTAATTGAATTAGAGCCTTCTGGGCTAAACATTGTCTGGTCGTCATGATTGTAGGGCTTAGTTATTTGAATTAGGCCTTAGTGTTTTCTGTTCCTCAATTTACCAGGACTTCTTGTCCTCAATTAGAAGTAGCTATACCTTAGTATTATTAATCTTTAAGTGGCAATGAGCGGGAAGGGTGGAGTGCCCTTGAAGACAGAATACTTTTCATCACCTCTACTGACCACTTATGCGTTTTTATTTAAGGCATCGTTCAAAAATGCCTATTATCTGCAGTTACTAAGAAAAATTATCTACTGCCTCATGGGAAGGCTGTGAAATAGTTTAAAAATAGAATTAATCACTGAGCAGCCTGTTCTTTTAATGAGAAAGAGCCCAAGATGCTCTCGATTCATATATGAGACCACTGTAGCCTGCGCCCTATTTCATCTTAACTAATATATGAGTCCAACGTTGTTAAATGTGACATATTTTTCAATTTTATTGAGAATAAAAACAAGAAGTATTTTCATTTTTAAACATAAAAAGAACAATATTTGTTCTTTCCACTGCTCTTTTTTTTTTTTTTTTTTCTATTATGCAAATTAGTGTTATAACTAATAATAGTTTTATCAGTTAGGTTTATGAGTTACCCAGTTGATTTTTGGAAATTATATATATATATATATATATATATATATATATATATATATATATATATATATTTGTATATTATTTATTTTACCCAAATAGCACTATATTTTTAGTTTGCCTTAATGTTATTCTAAATTATCTAACAGTGTTAATTATAGTTTAATAATTATAACAACCTCTGTTTTAATAAGTTTTCTTCTTTTCTTCTTGTCTTTGTCATAGAAGAAGGAGCGCAAGCGGGAAAAGAAACTGAAAGAAAAAATGAAGAAGAAAAAAGAAAAAAAGGAAAAGAACAGATCAAAAGATAAAAGTGTGAAAAAGAAGCTCAAGTTGGAAAAAAAAGAAAGAGAGAAACTAAAAATAAAGAAAGAAAAGAAAGAGAAAAAGAAGGAAAAAGAAGTTAGTACTTTTTAGATATTTATTTAACTTAAATTAATGCATCCATACCATAAGTAGTATAAAAGATTATAATCAATTTATTGTAATGTAACAAGCTTAAGAATGTTAATGTTTCTTTTTTTTTTATTTTATCAGAACTAAAGTTAAAGTATGTTCAAATCAAGTTTAATTTAGAAGTTAATTAAAGTTATTGAATGGGTATTAGTGAACAACTCGGTTACTACAATTTTTCTCAAATGCAATAAAAAAATTTAAATATTTTTTTAGTTTTTTATAGATAAAGCAGATAATAAATAAAATAAGGTTTATCTGTTACACACCAATATGATGTTATGGCTGAGCTCATTGAGACTTGGATCCCAAAAAGCTCGGTTTAGAACGTTTTGGGTTCGATTTCCACCTGGGTAGGTTAATATTTATTTCTCGGCAGTCCTGGGAATTAACATAACCACTCTAGAAAGTACGTAACAGCAACCTCTAGGGGTCATCATGGGTTGTCAAAAAGGACAATAAAGCCCATTTGCCATGTTGTTACTAGTTCTACCCACTAGTCCTACTTTTTATAAATGGCAAGTCATAAAAAATGATTAATTTAGTTATGAAAATTGTAATCTACTGATGAGCTTTATTTGTTTTTAAATCCAATTAATTCACTGTAATCCCTAGACTGTTTTAAATAAATTACTTCATCTTGCCATAAGTTTCGTGTTAGCGTTGAAACCAACATAAAATAAAAATTTACCTTTTTAAGATTATAAAATTATTTTAATTATTATTATTATTTGATTATTTTAATGACATGTAGAGTAGTGTCATGCTTTTTTGTGGTGATGATGTGACAGCCTTGTTTCTATACTTTTTTATAATGTCAGTTCAAGATTTATTATCATTTGAGATTGGTAATCAATAATAGAGGTAATCTTTGGAACCAACATTTAGCATCGTTGTAACCAGAGCCATATGATATGCAATAAATTAATCAAATATACCTTAATAACACAAAATATGCAGCAAAAAAGTCCTGAAATAAAAATTATACTGGAGAAAGAATTAAAAACTGAATAATTTATATATACAATTAGTCCAATAAATTGTTTAAACAAGTTTATAAATAAATAGTTTGAAAGAGTTCATAAAAACAAAATATGCTATTGCATAGAAATCCGAGCCTGTTATAACTTTTAAAAACTTACTAAAGTTTCTTCTCATTGTTTTTTTTTAAATCATCAACTGCTCATATTTTAAGACAATGGTTCAGTGGATTAATCTTGCTTGTAGTTTTCAGTTTTTACATTTTTGGTATGTTAAATTTTGTTGAACAACAGTTATTAACTTTGCATAACAGTTTGTTGAACAATAACAATAAATTTAGTTGCGTTTGAGGTTGTGAATGTCATTCTTGTCTGTCTAATAAGCTTCTAAAACATGAAACTTTCACAACCTATAAAACATGTTTACATTGTATTTATGGTTTGTTTCTGAATTCCTCTCCCCTTCATTTTTTATTGTCAATAAATGTTTCCAGAAAAGCTAAACATTTTTCCAACAAGAATCATTTAAAATCTATGTATTTTTTTTTTTTCTTGTTGCAAATTATCATTTGATAGATTGTTGAAGTAACTATCTAGTCATGAATTTTTTTTTTGGTTGATCCATTGGTTTTGATGTTAAATACTTTTTGACATTTTTTATTAATTGAATTTGGTTTGATATACATTAAAGTTACTATATATTTTTTGTTTTTTAGCTAGCCTCAGAGGAAAGAAGTGAAGTGAATACTGTGCCAAAGATAACTTTTAAGTTAGGTCCAGTATCGCCCAAAGATAGTTCTGCTGAATCATGCACAAGAAAAATGTAAATATTTTAGATATAATTATATATGCTTATTTATGTGTTCCTAATTAATTTATACATATGGTAGTATAATTACTATATATTCCATCTTAATATATTGATCAATTATTAATAACTGATTTAAAACATGTAGTTCATTAGCCTTATATTGATACTACAAAGGTTATGGTAGTATTGATCATTAGATCGTGTATCTTCGAAACATTTAATGACATTCAAATCACTAATTTTTATTCTAAAAAGTTAGTTGTTAAATATTGTTAATCTAAACTGCCAGCAAAACATTCTTCTTTAATGGCGCGACAGACGCACAAAGCAGTCCTTGGCCTGCTTAATCATTTTGACCCAACCAATCTTATCTGCAGCTTGTGATATGCTCATTCCTGCCTGTCATATGTCTGTGATTACACCCTTTCTTCCAGCGTGTCAGGGTCTTGTCCCATCTGGCATGTTTCTGCATGCTTTTAGAGGGTACCTATAGTCTTCCACCCTTATGACATGACCAATCCATTTTATTCTCTGCAACCTAGCAAAGTTGGAGATATTCAAGTCCTGGTATTCACCGTACAACTTCGCATTTTGGCGCAGACGCCAAGCTTCGTTTTCTTGGACTGATCCAAAGTTGCATCTCAAGATCTTCCTCTCGAAGCAATCAAGCCTTTGCACTTCTAATTTATTGAGTATCCATGTTTCGCATGCTTAAGTTGCTATTGGCCTTATGATACATTTGTACAGCCTTATTTTCAGAGTGCGACTGATTAGCCTGCCTCTAATAATTTTAGATAGGGAGAAATATGCCCTGGTTACTGCTAATCAGCATCTTATTTCAGCTTCCTCTTCCATCTTTTCTGTTATTGTAGTTCACAGGTATTGGATGCATGGAACAACATCAAAAGCATTTTCTCCGAATCTAACTTGTGGGACCACATCATGTTTCCTAATGCACATCAGATTAGAGGAAAACAAGAAATAAAAGCTTTGCAACAATTGATTCTAGTAATTTTTGCTGAAAACAGAGGTACTTTTACTTGAGAGGATAAAAAATATCATCATTTTTTTTACAAAACTTGCTCTGATTTTCAAATGTTTCCCTAATAAACCTCAAGTTAATTAATATGAACTTAAAGCTCATTTAATGAAGAAGTTTTTGAAAAAGTGGGGAAACTGTAGTATAATTGGATGATGATAAAAAAAAAAAAAAAAAAAAGGTGAATAATTTATGATTTTTCAAAAAACAGAACTTAGCTTAGTTTAGCTGCTCAAAAGTCCTCTGTAAATAGTTTTAACAATGATAAACTCTATGTTCATATAAAGTAAATTTCATTTTGTTTACAATGAAGCAATTATTAATTACTTAACTTAAATATTTCTTTAGTTATTGCTTTCGATTCAATAAAAACATGACTCACTTAAAAAAAAACACAAAACTTCTTACGGGACACCCTGTATATATTTTTAAAAAATGTTATTGGGAATATGTGAAGGATACCGATGCAAGTCAAGTTGCTGACTGAGCTGAGCACTACGCAATCGGTCGCCGACCGCCTCTTGCTATGCTCAGTTCAGCTATGCTTTCGGTGGTCGGTCAGCCTAATAAATGATTTTATTTTTAAAATTATGATTAGTCATTTTTATAGTTCTTTGACTATAATTTTTGCCACTGATCGGAGGTATGCCTCTAGTAATGTTTAATTTCATATATTCTTAAAGCAATGTTAATAAATCAGTTTCAAACTGTTTTATGCTGTAATTTTTAGAAAATCGTCCCTTGGATATACCTATATACTCTTGGCTATAAATACTGTTACAAAAGTTGAACTTTGGTTTCATCCTTGGGTATTATTTAGATAATCCTTACCTCTAACAGGTTATTTTCTTTACATGTCAGAATAATAACCCCAATTATTTTGTATTTTTCTTTCGCTAAGTTAAGATGGAGTGGGGTGATAAAGAAAACCGAATAGCTGAGATCGCCTTACACAAAGTTGGAAAATGTATGTCAGAGATTTTTAACACTTTGATAGATATAATGAGACGCTATCTGTATGTGACAGACCTCAACTACTGAGAATTCTTTGTCTGAACGTCTCTGCACTGTGAGAACGGCAAATGCAGTGAGCAGTGGCTGCTCGAATCAGAAGAAATCCCATTCGAAAACAACAAATCATGTCTCGGGAAGTGGGAATAAAAAGTGACCTTAGGATGGGTGTATTTTGAAGTTTCACTGGACTAAGGCTAACCATTTCCATAAAAAAAAATCAGAGTGGACGGATGCAAACTGCTCCTTGGCCGTTACACTACTGGTCTTCATTGAAAGATTTTGTTTAGCGATGATAAAATTTTTACAATTGAATCGCCAAATGATCGTGTGTACCCACACAGCTTTAAAGAAGCCCAGGAAGGCATTGGAAGAGTGGAAGAGATCATCACCCTTCTTCAGTGATGATTTGGTGGGGAGTTTGCTTTGATGGCACCACAAAGCTCCATTTTTGTGAAAAAGGAGTTAATACAGCCGCTGAAATCTATCAGGACGATATTTTGGAATCTGTTGTCAAGCCTCTAAACGATACTCTGTTTGCTGGAAGTCATTGAGTTTTCCAGCAGGATTCCGCTCTAGCTCACAAGGCCAGGTCAACTCAGTGACTGCAAAAGAACATTCCACAGTTCATCTCTGCCTCATTGATCCTCAGGAAGCTCTGATCTCAATCCACTAGATTATCAGCTTTGTTCCAAACTGGAGAGGATGGCATACCACAGATCACACCCTAACTTGGAAAGCCTCAAACAATCTCTGGTCCGAGCAGTTGAGCACTTTCCTCAGAAGTGCTGTGTGTTGCTATTGGTGACTGGCCACAGAGATTAAATACCTGTGTCAAGGCAAAAGGGGGACATTTTGAGAACAACTTTTTTGTTTTACTCTCTATAGATAAACATTTTATTTTCTAATAAAGTTTAAAAAAAAAATAATTTTTCTTTTTTTTCTTTGTATCTGTATATATTTCCTTGTAACAATATTTATGACAGGACTATGTACTGTTAGACTAGGCATTGATGTGAACTGTTATTTTATGTGAGATTTCTATTTCTTAGAGATTAATCTTAGTATATTATCTTACAGACGTTTCAAATCTCACATTTTTTTTTTTTTTTTCCATTGCTTGCATTGGAAGGAAAAGGTAAACTTATTAATATTTATATTGTATTATTTTTCTGGTAATTACTTTAATATTTTTATGTAATGTATGTACCTATACATTTATATTATTTATCAGAATTATTTTATTTTATTATTATTTATTTATTTAATTTTTTTTTTGTCCAGTGTTATTAAACCTATTATAAAAAAAGAAGAAAATGAAAATGTTGCAGAAGCAAATCCTTATGTAGTACCTGATATTCAAAAAACTCCATCTAATTCTAACACTATAAAGACTAAAAGTTCGAAAGCTGGGAGTAAGTAAGCATTCTATTGATCTATTTATGCAATACTTTTTAAATTTATTTTAAAAGAATGTTGAATATCTGGATAAATAGATTTATTTTTCAGTTTATTTAACTTTTCTAATTGATGCTGATGAAGTCTTCATGGGATTGTATACAAATTCATTTGGGATTACTTCGTCTTTAATTATATATTTAAATTAATATGCATCCTTAAATAATTGGAGTTGTATGTCATGATTTTCTTTTTGGCAACAGAAGCTAATTGGCCAAAGTCTTACCTTGTCCAAATCATCCACATGAATACTGTGTACTAACAAGCATATAAAAGATAAAGTTTGGTTCAACAGTTAAGGTGTGTGTGATACGTATAAAAAGATAAGAATAGTTGAGCATGGTTCGTACTCTGATGGGTGACCAGCATGAGGGGAAGCAAGATTATGTTGCCTGGGATATTCCCTCCATGGATAATCGAGGCTCTACTGGACATAGCTCTCACTCACTGCTTTTAAGGATGATTATTTTAAACTTTGTGCTTTGGTACAAAATTGTGATATGGTTCCCAAAGGAAGGTAAGCTTTCGTTTAGAGGCTTGTTTCTTGTACAACCCTCTAAACGAATATAGCTTTAGAAAAGTTAAAATATAGATCTTAAATGGTCTGTCGATACTGAATAACTGTAATACTTAATTTTAAGCTGATTTGTCTCTGTAATTGAACTGTATTGTTTGAAGTTATTTCAGTTGAAAAGGCAGTACTGCATTAGACCCAATATACTGATTATCCAGGGTAGTCTGTTGCACCATTGAAACCATGCTTTGGAGTGTCATCAGGTGGGATGATCCTTAGTGAACTTGTCAGTATCCCCAAAGAGATTTTTTTTTTTTTTAATTATTCCATTGTAGTTTTTTCTTTTAGTGTCAATGTTTTTATATTAAACAAACGATAGTGTCTCTGATAGCCATATCATGTTTTTTTTTATACTTCAGAAACACGAAGTTTTGGTTCTAGTGAGGTTTTACTGCTAGTTAACTTTTTGTTGTTGATTTATTTAGCTAAACATTCATTTTGGAATTTAATTTAACGTTTTACAACTGACTAGCAATTGGGCCTTGTTCTTTTTGCCAACACCTGACAACTATTTAGAAGTTGCTTCCTTCTAATAACCAGATTAGTAGGAATATCAAGATTTATTTCTTGGGACTGGTGAGAAACAAATTTTAACTCACCTTACGTTGTTAGGAACTAAAGTCACACCATTCTGAACAAAGCAGTAAGGGACTTCTTGTTTCTATGTGAACAGCCATTATGACGTCAGTTATTAGACTACTTTTACTCCTGATTCACATTGCTTAGCCTTATGTCTCCATCTCAAAAATATCTTAAATGAGTTATTAGCCAATGTTTCTACTCAAACATGTGGGTCCTCATCAAGACAATGGTTGGAGAGTCGGACAAGAACTCAACTGTTCTTGATAACCCACATGTTTGGGTATAGACGTCAACTAACTCATTAAAGAAATTTTTGACTGCATATTCTGACAATTTTTCATCATCTTTATAATTTCAACAGTCAACTCAACTACATACCCATCTCTTTACTATTGGAGTTAATTTAAACCCCTGGTGTATATAAGTTATTACATTAAGTTTTAATTGTTGAACTATTGATTCTTTTGAAGTATTTTATTTCATGTCATTTTTTATATGGATTTATGTGTTACATTCTCTTTGCTTTGAAATAATTGGATCTTTTTTATCATAAAATGTTAATATGAATCGCTCTGTTTACAATGTTCATTAATTCTACTTCTTAAATATTAACATTTAACTTTTTTAAAAAGTCAATATACTTATTGCTTAAAATATTTTGAAGAATAACTTATATTTTTTGTCTATTAATTTGTTTTACAAATTAAATATTGGTACTTTCAATGTGTTTTAACAACTATTTATAATTTTTAATAACTAAGACTATTAATTTACTTTTCCTTTACAACAGGCATGATTCTGTTTTAAAGCATGCATAATGCATATATCACACTAGGCCTTACAATTTAGTTGAATGGCAAATAATTCAGTTACTAAATATGTCTATATGTATATAGTTAAATTTAGCCTTATAGTTTTCTATGTGATTTAATGAGGTTCTATTTTGTTGGGAGCCAAGAAATGCTTCTACCTCACCTTGTCTCAATAGGTCACTGAATAAACTAGTCTGTATTACAGTGGATTTATAGAGACAAAAACATACCAGCCTGTGTTTCTATTGGTTAAGGCAAGCACAGCCATTTTGGCTTACTAGCTTGGTGTATATTTACCTTGAAATTGTTTGATTTTCCTGTATTGTTAAGAGATATTCCCGGTTAGATATTTTATTTTAGTCAGGCACTGAAAATAACTATTAATTTTTGTTTCATTTGCACAATTTTTTATTTTTGTGATATAAAAATTTCATCAAAGTCGTGCTATCAATTTGTTTCCAGTTTTCATTCAACTTTTATCTGGCAAAAAAATTATAATTGTCTCAGTTTTTTTTTAAACAGGTTTTAATAAAAGAAATAACTTATGGACAATTTTATTTTAACTGAATACCATACATTATTTAAAATATTAAAAAGAAAAGGAAACTTTGTTAAAAATATGTTTTTGTAAATAATTCATCAGAATCTTGATTTCGCTATAACAGTTATAGCCATCATTGCAACAGTCACGTCTAAGTCGTCAAAAAGTGTCGCGTCAACTGCATTCTCATGGTAGCAACTGTCACTTCCACGGACATGGTGTAAATTCTACTTCATTGTAGCATTAGTTATCTTGGCAGTACTGTTGGACTATCAGATGTTACATGATAGTGAAACAGTAGCTGTCAGAGCTGATAGATATTGTCACGTTATCTAGTTAGTGAAATATCAACTGTGAACATGATAATTATTATTCAATAAATTATTCAAAGAATTTGAGCTGTCACACTCATATAACAATTAACCTGGATTGTTGTTTGTGTTGAAAAAACTTGATTTTACTTAATGTTTCCATGTTATTCCTCTTAAATAAAATTGATATATATCTGTTATCATTTTAAAAGTATTTAAATGTTAAAAAAGCTCTTTCCAATTATAATTATCTCTCTTAATGGTCCAAATAAAATCCATTGCTATATTTTAAAAATCTAATTAACCATTAAATCTGTTAAAAAAAAAAAAATGGTCAGAACCAAACTATCTCAAGAACCCAAATATTTAAGTATCATTCATCCAAATATGACTGACCATTGGATTTTGAATTATTTATAGTTGTGTTGTTTTGTTGAAGTGTTTTCAGGAGAGGAATAAAAATTTTCATGGTTGTTTAGGTTTGTTCCTAAAGTTTCCAAATAAGATTCCAATAAAAATTATTGTTCACAAATTTTTTAAAAAGTAAATACTTATTTAATTTTTTTTTTTCGTGAAATTAACTAATAGGAGACCTAGATAAATAAATAGGACATCACAAGAGATTAAAGTTTATTGAAATCAGGATTGAAATAGTCAAATTGAAAAAAAAAAGTTTTATTTTCCTTTTTTTATAATTTTAATTTTTGCATAATATAAATGACTTATTAGCCTCATACAACTTGCTCAACACCAATTTCGTCTTCCAAACCTTGCTAGTTAGTAGTTTGTTGCAATTATTACAATTCAAAATGAAAAGACTAAGAAAAATGATTGAGATATTGGGACCTGTATGACCAAAACAGCCACTAATTCTCTTAAATCCACACTGTCTAGGCAACGTAGTTTGAACCTGTCATTAGTAGAGTTTAAATAGTTGCCACACATTTGTCATTTTGCTGAAGCTAATAACCATCTTTAAAATTTGTTTTAAAATATTTAGAACATGAGTAGTTTTGGATTATTTAGTCCCCACATAATTAGAATAAATAAATTAAGCAATCTATATACAAAGTATTGGAAAATTTACTGTTTAACTTAAATTGAAATTGAATTTGTGACTTCAATTTCACAAATAGAAAACTAAAGCAACTTTCATATATTCTCGAAGTTCATCTATTGTTGAATTTATTCTTCTACATTTTCTAAAATAGTTATGTTAGGTATCTAAATTAGCTATGGCAGCTTATTTACTTTATTCTATAGTAGCTTGTTTGTCTTGCAGAACATCACTCGCTCGTGTTCTGTGCCTAACCATTGTTTTTTGGGGAGTAGGGAGTATTTTAGTTGCTAAATTACTTGCTCCTGTACTGAATTATGAACCTTGTGCAAACTAGATCTAACAGTTTTAATTAATGCATTTGCATGTGTATGATAAGTGTGTGCTTCCAATGATGTAACATTAATTATTATACAGCTGTTCACAAGCTGAAACCTAAGTGTTGATATAATTTATCTGAGGTTGCCACACTGATATGAGTTTATATGTTAAAATTGATTTTTTTTTTTTTTTTTTTTTTTTTTTTTTTTTTTTTTTTTTTTTTTTTTTTTTTTTTTTTTTTTTTTTTTTGTACGCCTTAAATTGCTCTCAGGTCTAATACGGCCTCTGTACAGAGATATGCTCCTCGTGTATTGATACTGTGACTACAGCAGTCGTACCTCTTGAAAGTCCCTTTTATGATTGACCTAAGTAAATCTAATCACTGTTTTGTCAAAAACAGTCTACTTTGTGATGGTGTACTTAAAAACCACAGAAAATTGGCCTTAACTCCTTTTCCGTTTAGAATTGGACAATGTATCAAATGAACTTTTTTGTTGGAAATTTTATCTAGAATCACACCCCAGAGTTTGGCCATTAAGAACTGAAACTCTGTTTATTATTCATTTTATAGATTAAATCTTCATATTGTTTTTTTCAATGTATCTAACAACTAAAGACTTATTTGATATGCAAGAAGCAGGCATAATTCTGTTTTAAAGCATGTTTTAGAAAATTTAATATGTATATCTGCATGGTTATGATGAGTGTGTGCTTCCAATGATGTAATGTCAAATATTATACAGCTGTTCACAAGCTGAA